TTTTTTTTTTTTTTTTTTTTTTTTTTTTTTTTTGAGCTGTATCATTGCTCTGTTTTTTTCTCTCAATATGATCCATAGGTTTAACCTTTTAAATACTTTTGAAATTTTTGTTTTCTTAAGATTGTTAACCTTGGTTGCTGGTTGCCAGCTCCTTTGTGTGCTGCAGCTGGTAAAGAGATTGAGAAGTTGTCATTCCTTGGGGCATTCTTCAGTCTTTCTGTGTTTGCAGAAGAAAGTGTAAGTATCAAAACTAATGTACATTCTGCCTTGTAGCTCTGAACAGGGAAAAGTTTTGTACATGTGCATATGAGGCAGTCAAGAGCTGCTCTTTGTATATTGTTGGCTGTAAAAGCAGTAGAGCAGTTTTCATATAACAAATGATGGGAAATTACATAGTACATTGTATAACTTGCCTTAAGTAATGGAAATTAAGGGTGGAGTAGTTACATTCAGAACTGTTCACTCACCCCTCACCTCTGGGGTTTGATTTCTGGGCTTAGCATTTGTGAAAGGAGTTTGTTAGAGTCAGGTTTCTCCCTTTATTCAAGGCTTTTTCTCCTGGTTGTCAGGTTTATTCCCACTCCACAAAACCTAACATACATGCTGAATTCCTGGTTGCAATCCAAATATGTGAGTAAGCCATGCCTTGACCTGGACTTAGATTTGCCCAGAGGTAGTTTCAGAGTTAGATAAAATCTGAAGGTTCATTTTATACTTTACATCTTAATTTTTGTATATTTTTTTCTTCAGCCAAAAGTAGTTGAAAAATGTTTTTCATCAAAAGAAACCATGACTAAAGAGGCAATAAAGTTGGCTACGGCATCTTTACAGGATTCACTACAGTTCGTCAGGGTAAGAATTTAACTAGTAGTAACGTTTTTACTAGTAATGCAAGCACTAGTCTTAAAGTCTGAACTATGCAGAGTGAGAGACTGTGCCATAGAGCGGATGCAATTAAACCGTGAAATAAAATCAAACTAAATACTAACTAATAGTATCTATTTAGTGACTAATAGTCACTATTACTCAACCAGAAGATTTATTAAACAAAAGGCACAAATGGTCTCTTCTGTATTTGTCTTTGTATGATGAATATTCTGGTTGAGTAATAGCAACTGTTAGTCACTAAATAGATACGTACTGTTTAATAAACGAGTAGGAGTGTTTTATCAGGTATAAAAGCACGAGGCGTAGCCGAGTGCTTTTATACCTGATAAAACACGATCTACGAGTTTTTTGAACTGCTTAAAACACTCATGAACAATTTATAAGATTTTGGTTCAACTGGAGCCACCATACACGTCACGAACATGGATTTTTATACTTCCATAGAGATTTGACGTCACGGGCATGCGCAACCAGATTCAATAGAAGCTCCCACACGTTGGATATTGCGTGCCAAGGCAAAGACAGGCACGTTAGTCAAAGATCATTAGGGTTGACTATGACCTTGATGAAGCTCTATGTCTTCATCTAAACTTGGATGCATACTTCATCCCTGATGAAGTCATCCTCATAGCATTCGAGTGGTCTTTATATAAAGATCACATGTGTGTTTATATAAAGACATATGTCTTTATATAAAATCACTTGAATACTAATGAAGAGGACTTTATCAGGTATAAAGGTTCATGCACGTGACGTGTATGGTTGCTCCAATTGGACCATAAGCTTATGAATTATTAATGAGTGTTTTAATATTAGTTAGTATTTAGATTGATTTTATTTCACAGTTTAATTGCATCTGCTCTAGTAGTGCATGCCACTTAGTAGTTAAGGCTTGGTTTTTAGTTAGTGATGCAACATAAGTATGAACTACATAGAACCACGTGTTCTAATAAAAAAATCTATTAGGCTTTAGCTGTTGTATCATAGTGTGGGACAATCCAACAGAGCTAGGCTCCAACTAGGTGAAAGCCCAATGATCTAATTGGGACTTAGAAGTAGATTTTCAAGGAGGGAGGAAAACTGGAGAACCCGGAGAAAAACCCTCAAAGCACAGGAGAGAAACAAAAGAAAACTCTACTCACCTAACGACTAGAGACCGGCAGAACTTAAACCCGGGTCTCATTGGTGAGAGGTGGTGCATTATTAGCAGTGCACGTCACTGGTGCTTCATAATAAATGTGTGGTTTCTATAGTTATTTAATCGTTTATGATATTTTGGATTTGCAGATTGAGTTGTTTAAAGTCATGCACGGTCTGCTAGTATCAAGTGAGAGCAGAGGGGCATGTTTAGAATACATTGCTACTGTTCTTCAAAGAAATATGAAGAAATCACAAATGCAGGTGAGTAAATCTACTATTGGGGTTCCACAATTGGGTGTGAGGTCACTGAGGTTCAAACTATGGTCCTCTTGCTTAGCGGATAGTTCACTAACCAACCAAGCCACACTTGTTCCTTAAAACAAGTGTGTGAGGTCACTGAGGATAAAACTATGGACCTCTTGCTTAGCAGGCAGCACACTAACCAACCAAGCAACACTTGCTCCTTAAAACAAGTGTGTGAGGTCACTGAGAATCAAACTATGGACCTCTTTCTTAGCAGACAGCACACTAACCAACCAAGCAACACTTGCTCCTTAAAACAAGTGTGTGAGGTCACTGAGGATCAAACATTGATCTTCCTTTAGCACATAAATTAACAATAAATAATAATAACTTTTACTGTTCTGACAGGCTGATGACAGACAAGTAGCCAGTGATGGATTTATGATGAATTTCATGGCTGTACTACAACAGTTGTGTGTGAAAGTCAAAATCGAGAAAGTAAGTCAAAATGTCTATAGATTCTATTTTTCCCCCGAATTGATGCCGACCAAATGATGCAGAGCAATGAAAATAGAACTTGCAGTTGTGTGCGTAATTGATGCAAAGTCTGTTTACTGCTTATTGTGAATAAGAATCAAGAGGTGTCCAGTAAACTTCAAAAAAAATAGACCTCTTTAAGCTTGGGCTTAATGTTTTCCCATTTCAGATCACGTGTCATTCACTAGAGTATCATTTCTTTGTTTAACAGTTGTGCATGAGAAGACACATGAATATGGATACAACTCAAAGAAATAATATTTTAAAGAGAATAACACGTGGATTGAAATGGGAAAACATTACCCCAAACTAAAGAGCTCTATTAGTATCTTTTCTTGGTTACGAAGCAAACATTTAATTATAATAAAGAAATGCATGTAGTAGTTGGGACAAGATGTGAAACACCAAGATTTCAAATTATTTGGAAATATAACCCTGCTATTCAATGCTCTATGAATTTTCTATGTTTGTGTTCTCGGCATCCCATAATTCAAGGTGGCTGCCATATCTTGCCTATCTTGTCTATTGCCCTAATTTTATTTCGGTCATACTCACCACGTTCCATTCATTCTCTCTTCAGATCGATAATTTATACCTGTTCTACCCCAAGTGTAGACTTGACCTATCACAAGAAAGCAGGCTGAAAGCAACAAACAATGAAGCCAAAGAATGGAAAACCCAATTAGGTAACGAGCACTACATGCAACAAGGCGTGATACTTGAACTTTTGAATTTTTGCTTGCTCGTTTGCTTGTTTTCTTGCGTCCCTTAAAGACATCACAAGTTGAATACAGTATGTTATGCGTTGTGAGATTGGACAGGGCTAACACTCCAAATAGTTCCATTAGAATGCAATGCAACAGCATCAAAGCAAACTGAATGTGTGTCTATGAATTTCCTCTATTGCAGGTTCCAGCGAGACGTGGTCCGAGCCCAAATTCCCCACAGAGTGCTTCTTCATGGCCTATCAAGGTCACCACGAAGCTATCATCCCTTGCTGTAGACGGTACATACGAAGGCTGCGTGCCATTCAAGATCTTTCAAGAATGGTACTCCATTTAGAGACGCAGGAGAGTGAGTGGATGGAGACGCCATTGGCACCGAGGAATAAAATGTTATTGAAAAAATGGCGAGCACAAGTTCATGTAAGTGAAAGGGACTTTCTCTTGTATGAGCGTTTTAAAAAGAAAAACATGGACGATGCGCCAGCTATCATTGCTTTTGTCGTTGGTGGGACCCTCCAACCCGCCATCGTGTGTTAGGCCCCGTCCACACCTATCCGGAAATTAAATTTTTTCCCCAATTTTTTTTTTTTTTTGCGGATACAGAAATGTTCGCGTCCACACGCAGCGTATTCGGATCGTTTTCGACGGATAGTTTTTCTTATTGAGCATGCGCAAAATCGTGTTTACGTCAGCGTATTCGAAAATTTGCGGATACGACCGTCCACACGTATCCGTATTCCGAGCGTATTCGAAAATTTCCACTCTGGAGACCGTTTTCGAAAATTTCCGGATACGGATACAAAAATTTCCGGACACGTGTGGACGCAACCCGTATCCGCAAAAAACCTTTTCCGGATACGTGTGGACRGGGCCTTAGTAGAATTGATTGCTGGTTTTCTCCTGTGCTTCGAAGGTTTTTCTCCAGGTTCTCCGGTTTTTCTTTTCGTTTTTTTAACTCCGTGGTCCCTGGATTCATAGGGAAAGAATTTTTACGGAATCTTTGACGACATTTACTCAACACTCCATATATTTATTTTCTCATGTTTTGATTTTTCTCTCGGTTCTGCGGTTTTCCTCACGCTGCAAAAAACAAAAACAAAAAACAAAAACAAAAAACAACTTCTAAATTCCAATTCGTTTTGACATCAAGCACTTTTTAGTAATGAAGGAAAAATAAGTTGTTTTTACATACAATCAATTCTGTTTCTTAGCAGTAATAGAGCTATTCATAAGGGCGGCCTTCATATTACTGTAAAAAACACCGACACAGTACCGACGTACTACAGCTGTGTGAGGCAGCGCGTCAGAAGCGATAACCATACGTTCTTTAAAAGGCTCAGTGCCATAAATAAAATAATTCAAGAAAAAATGCACGTAATATTATTGTGGTATTCTTGATTCATGATATCCATTCATTTATTATTCTAACAGAAACTGGAGACAAGTAAGATGTGTTCCAATGCAGGTCTTGTAGACGAACGAATACTACAGTCATGTTTCAAGTTTTACGGCATGGCTGCTTCGTGGATACTCACCATGGTAACGCCAGAAATAGAGGGGTACGTCTGCCATATATCCATACACCCATTAGACTGTTATGTGAAAGGTTGTGGGTTCAATTACGGCTTGATAAACATGATGCATTCTGGTCTAGCTTGGGTTCAAACAACTCTACACTATACGACACGGTGAACAGAAGAACATAGTACCCAAGCTAGACCACCATGCACCATGTTCACTATCTCACAAAAGGCCTGCCTTTAGCCTAAATGTTTTGTTATTGTGACTAGCTGTTTACATGAGAGTAGAGTGGCCCTTCATTTAATTTATTATTTTTGAAATAGGAAAGATGAAAATGCTTCGATCCTTGCAAGAGGGAACAATCTCGAAGGGCCATACTGATGGGTTCCCTGTGGGTTTGTCGGGAAATTTAGCATTCACAGATTTTTGGCGCCAAAGTGCGCGCACTTTGAATCTGGAGCACCTTTTTGCCCTGGAACACCCGTGCGCCAAAATACTTTTTTAGAGCTTCTTATTCATCCCTTAGGTTTTATTTTTAATTCAATGCTTCGTACTGATTCAAAGACAACTACGATGCATTAATATACTCTATTTGCATCACAGGTCAACACTACCCCTGTCTACCGAAGTACCAAAGCAGTTTGCCACACTACCAGATTACTACATTGAAGACATTGCTGAATTCCTCTTATTCATCAACATGTAAGTTTTAATCAAAATATTTACAATAAATACTTCAAGAGAATACTATAAAAATACTATAATTGAAGTCAGGATTCATAATACTTGAAATGTTTGTCTCTGACATAAAATATTTAAAACATTTTTACAGACGTTTCGATCCGTGACCACGGACCTTCTTCAGTGTGCCGTTGGTGTTTGGGCACGCGTATTTAAATGTTTGTATTAGTCAAGAAAATATCGATCATTATCCGACATAGTCAGTCTGCTTAATAAAGGTTTTGGAAGGGAAAGTACGTTTTATATTGAGGAGGGAGGGGCGTGGGGGAGGGCTAGGGAGGGACATCAGTAAAATCTTTTTTTTTTTTGGAGGCTCAAACCTTTTTAATTTGACGAAAGCTTACGCCTTGAAAAGGACTACGACCATTAAATATTWAAAAAATCCGCGAATACCCCGACCCACCCCTCCCTCATTAAAAAAGCATACCTTTCCTAATTAGAGCAATCACAGTTGAGTGCAAACCATAGGTCCGTGTAAAAGTTAACTATCAAAATTGTACAAATTAGTGCAAAGTTTTGTAGGTCTGCGGTCTACTGAGGTCTTACTGAACTTACTAATTTGTGCAATTTTTTACAAAGTTATTTACGGATACAGTCAATTCAAAAAACGTTGTCGTCGACCTGCTCAAACCTACGAGACAGGACCGAAAGAAATATGGGTAAAATTCACTAAAGCGGTTAAATATTCGTTCTGAATTAATTGTTCCCGCTAGTAATAAAGATAATAATGGCGAGAAACAATTCAATCCGTCAAATGCATGTCTTCGGGTTTAGGGAAAGAAAGATAAAGTAGTTATGATTCAGTTCACAATTCCGAAAATATGAAGGCATTAAAAAGACGTCTCCTTCAACACTTCCCGCTCGCCTACGAAGGTTCGTGCTGTAAACCAGGCATAACTAGTAAACTATAGTCAGATAAAATTATGGAGTCAACTCGGCTTCAACGATTACTACCCAGAGTTCCTTTCGGTCCAGTCTCGTAGGCTTGAGCTGGTCGACGACAACGTTTTTTGAATTGACTGTATATAATATGCCCTCTACTGACACAGTTTTGTTGTTTTCCAGGCATGCCCCACAGGTATACGAAGATCCCGCTATCACAGACATCGTGAAGTTCCTGATCGTAATCATATGTTCTCCACATTATATCTCAAATCCTTATCTGGTGGCGAAACTCGTCGAGGTAAGCCATCCTTATCAACTGAGCTAGAGGGTATTTGTATTAGTACGCGTTTCCTAAATCTGATTAATATACAATGATAGCTGTATTAAGGGGACACCTTTAGAACCTCCACACTTTAACATAAGCACCAGCACAAGCAC